CACACACACACGCTCCATTCTCCTTACCTCTAATACTATTCAGTTAGAATCACATGATCTCTCCTTACCTGTAAGGTCTTCCCTGTGTGAGAGGCACCACGATAGCGATGGTGATGATGACCACCAACACGAACGCCACGATACCGAGGATGATCACCTTCTTGTTCTCCTCCCAAATTCCGTCTGGCTTTCTCCTCTCGGCCGGTATCAAACCTTCTTCTGCGAGAATTTCGATCGCATCTGGATCTGTGGCAGCTTCTTTTTCCTTTGGCATCAGCTTCTCTTTCTCTTCCTCCACTGCCTTTGTCTCTACTTCTATCTGTTGTTCATCCTTCTCAGCTTCCTCTTCCTCCTTTTGCTTCAGCTTCTCTTCTTTTTCTTGCTTGGCTTTGGCAGCTTTCTCCTCCTTTTCTTTTGCAGCCTTTTCTTCTTTTTCTTTCGCAGCCAGTTCTTTCCGTTCCTTCTCTTTGGCTACCTTCTCATCCTTTTCTTTCTTGGCCTTTTCATCTCGTTCTTTCTTCTCCTTAGCGGCTTTTTCGTCCTTTTCCTTCTTTTCTGCTGCAGCTTTTTCGTCCTTTTCTTTCTTTTCTTTTGCAGCTTTTTCGTCTTTTTCCTTCTTTTCTGCTGAAGCCTTTTCATCTTTCTCCTTCTTTTCTTTCTTAGCTTTCTCTTCTTTCTCCTTCTTTTCCTTCTTCGCTTTCTCGTCCTTTTCCTTCTTTTCTTTCTTCGCTTTCTCGTCTTTCTCCTTCTTTTCTTTCTTTGCTTTTTCATCTTTTTCCTTCTTTTCTTTCTTTGCCTTTTCATCTCTCTCTTTCTTTTCTTGCTTGGCCTTTTCGTCCTTTTCCTTCTTTTCTTTCATCTTCTCCTCTTTCTCCTTTTTCTTCTTCTCCTTTTCTTTATCTTTCTCCTCCTTCGTCTTCTTCTTGTCTTTCTTCTTGTCTCCAGGTTTTTCCTTGTCCTTGTCGTCGGCTCCTTCGGCGGGTGGAACTTCCTCCCACAGCTGATCTTCCGACTGCCATAAGAAGGAGGGGCTTTCTTTCTCCACTGGCGAGCCGTCGGGGTCGTAGAGCTCCGAAACTTCCATCGTGATGTTTTCGGGAAGTACTTCGGGTGATTTCGGTGGCTCTTCGGGTTCCTTTTCCTTCAGAGTCGCCCACGTCTCTTCTTCGGCTGCCTTCTCCTCGCCTTCCTCACTTATCAGTGGTTTCTTCTCCGTTTCACTCCCTTCTTCTTTAATACCTCTCTTTTGTTTCTCCTCTTCGAGTTTTTCGATCTCTCCGCTAGTTTTCTCCAGGAGTGCTTCAATCTCTCCCCTCATTTTCTCCTCTGGGCTGACCTCAGCACTCTCCTCTGTCTCAAACTTCTCCTTGACGTCTTCCTTTGCTGCGGCGCTCCCCTCAACCAGGGGTTTTTCACTCATCTCCGAGGCTTCCATCTTGTTTTGCCAATGTCCTGTTGCTTACAACGTCCCTTTTACCTCAGATTTTGCAGCTGCGATGCTCTGTTATCCCACTCAAGGCCTTTAGGGGTACCTCCCTGTATAAACTGCAACCAGAGACAACACTTTAGCTCGGGGAAAACGTCGTGCAGCTGCAGAAAGTGGTGTATTTTGTGCTCCAGAAAATATCCGCCCTCCCAACACGACAGGTGGAGGAACAGTTGACCTAGGACGAGGCCCGCCAAAATGTGGCTAATATTTAACTTCTTCTCCCTTTCAAACGGTCCCCAGGTAACCTCTAACCCCAGACATGACACACTCTCTGTGTCCACAAACTTGCGCAAACATGACGCGATGTGGCGTTAGCTAATAGTGAGGCGACAATAGCGCATGCCACATCACATATTGACGAATCAAACAATTAAGTCATCAGGATCAGAGGTTGCAGGGGTTATTTGGGGCGTGACTTATACTGGTGACGCTTTGTTCCAGGCACTGAAGAGGTCATTGTATACTAATATTAGCCTTTACCAGGCTTCAGGAAGTGGCTGGAAAGTGCAGAAATTGGCCAAGAATTGGCCAAAGATTGGATAGAGGAGTTGGTCAGCTAACGAGTAAATTGCCACTTTAACGGAGCAACTCCCTTGAAATGTTATCTGTCTATTTGGCCAATTTCTACTCTTTGCAGGCGCTTTCGATTTCTGAAGCCTGGTTGAGGCTATACTAGCATTACTTTTCAGAGCCCGTTAGCCTCTAGTTCACGCAACAGGTGGTTAGCTTGCGTATACATTTGCGTCCTCTGGCGGAGCTTTGAGTAGCTGCATCAAACAAGTGATTCTAGCTACTCGTAAATGGTACATGTAAAGTTACTAGTATTTGATAGCGTTGCCTATTCATTTGCAGTCCTGGTAGAATCTATGAAAGACAGTATATTGCTTATAAAATGCTGTCCCAAGATTTGATTTCCCTCTTTTTGTCGCAAACAATATCGATTTCTAGCAACGATCGGGCAATCATCTATTCAAAATTGCTCTAACAAGTACTCGAAATCTACCGGGGACCAATCAGAAAATGGATGTTTACTACACACAAAGACGATTTAGTCCAGAAATTTAACATTTCCTTTATAGATTACCTGCAATAATAATTTTTTTTCAAATAGGGTCGCTTTTTAGCCCATGTTCGACAAGCTCAGATGACTATTAAAAGCGCCCTTGTGTGACTCTAAAGAGTTACACATTGGCAACCCAGGAACCACTTAGGCTCTGGCGCATGATTGATTCCTATTTCGCCAATTTCTCTTTTTTCCGCAACCCATTGGATTTTGTTGTAGAATAGAAATTTACCACCACCCCTCCAAATGGGCGCTACCAAGTTTGTACATTTGCATATGCTAATGAGGTGATAGAGTCCGTAGGGAAAAGGTGTGCAGTGTATAAAGTGTCCACTGTTGTACATAGCGGTCCTGCGCCCATGTTTACAGACTTTGTTACTTATTTGCAGAACTTTGCCTGCGAGTCAGAGTGCAGCTACTGCCCGTGGAGGGGGCGAGCTTTCCTCAGATAGCCCGACGGCCGGGAAATTTCACGAAAAGTACAGGTAAGAAGCTTGTGTATCGGAAACAATTTGTCAGTATGGAGGGAGCACCGCTAGTTTTTTTTGCGATTTCTGGGTCATGTTGAGGTGAGTTTTTGTGGCGTGCTCTGCTCGTAGTTCGCTCTATCGTGTGTGTTGCGGGAGGGGTAGGAACGTGGAGGGGCGTTTGTTTTGATTGTGGGCTGTTCAGAGGTTGTTATAAGTCGCTGGCCTCTGTCGGAGTCCAACAGAAACAAGTTTATGCGTCGTGATGTTACCAAATTTCACGTTACTCGCTGCCATTTTAGTCAACGGTTCTGGGTCACTTGCTTCTGTTCAGTGCCTCTCACAGCGGTTAGTCTGAACTACACAGCCAAGTTCCTGACATTCTTCTTTTTAATCACACTTTTACATGTTTATAAATGATTCATTCTGTACTACCTTAGTCCCCCCCACACCGATGTATGGCCATATTTGGGCTGGAAACATGTTTATGCAAATTAAGTTTCCCAACTCCAGGCAGGTGTGTATCTATAGGTGTGGTCTGTCTGACAGGTTAATGTCCCAGGTCAATAACTGAACTATTCATGTATACTTAAGTATAAAATGCATCCCTTAGAATGTTGACAAACCTAGGACAGGTGAGGTAGGCTGTTCTCACCTGCTTACAGGTGTGAATTGTACCTGCACAGGTGTGTTTCTACAGGTGTGGCCTCACAGGTAATGTTCAATGTCTCAAACCTCTGTATAGAATGTCTCGTTGTGATTTTAGATCTGGTAGGACAGGCCAGGTAGCCCGTCATCACCTAGTCACAGGTGTGAATAATCTGTACTGAGGTGTGATTGTGTGTTCAGTGAACAAAGAGAGCCTAGTGTGAAAGATGAGCTTTTAAGATCACTTTCTTACCAACTGTACTGTAAGGTGGCAGTGTAACGGTCACAACATTATAACCATGGATTCATAAATGAGAAGTTCTAATATTTCTCAAGGTATCAACTACACAGTAGTTAGTTTAATACACTGTGCACCATGTACATTGTACATTGTTGGCTTTGTCAGGCCTTTTATAATATCAATACTGTAGGTAATGATTTATTAGACTGGAATACTGTTTCCCTGCCATTCCTCTGTTTCCGTCAGTTTAGCTACTTTGTGTATGAACAAAAATAGTTTGCATACCTACTAAACACCTCGCCCACACTGTTCCCTCCCTGCATGTAAACACAGTTTCCATTGTTAGGGTGTTTAGATTGACAGTAGCTTTTCGCAGCCTGGCTTGACTGCATCAATTTTCTGAAAGAAGAAGAGGACAGAGAGTGAATGAACGGGTGCTTCAGCTAACAGTTTGGTTTATCCTCCCATTGTTGGGCACTTTAGTCTGGCAGTTGGTGTCGAGATAATTTGGTTGTTCACCTGTGGCTTACAGTATAGTGTTTCAGGTACTTTTCTTGCCGGCCCCCCAGTCCTGATTCTTGGGCACTAAGAAAATGGTGTCTTGAGCCCTGGAGTTTAGAGTGAAGAAAAAGAAATTGCTTAGAAGAATTTTGAAAGATTTCCAAGGATACTACAGATCCTTAAATATAAGTAAAACGGAGGAAATTATTACTACATGTATGTTACTAATAGTTGAATGTTGTGAGGGACTTCAGTACTGTATCCTGTACCAAATTTTCTTCTTCAATTTGGCCAAGAATATCTAATTCGTACATTGTTTAGGAAGCTTGGAAAGAGAACAGTAAACTTCAATAAAATCTCTGATATACATACTATCAGTATTAGATGTTCACATAAGTTGTGATGGCATACATTGTACCATGTACAGGGTTGGACAAGTTTTCAAAAATCCACTTGCCTTATCGGGCAAGTACATGGTCATTTCCACTTGCCCGAACCAACTTTTTACTTGCCCAAAATACGACACATTTCTATGCATTTTACTAGCAGAAAGAGTTTATAATGTTGGATGCTTTATTTATCAAAATTGTTTAAAACTTGGTTGAAATACTGCTGGGGCTAAAACTTTGCATCCAAAAAATGTACTTGCCCAATCGGGCAAGTACTGGGGGATATTTACTTGCCCGAACAGTGCTTTTACTTGCCCTGGGCAAGTGGGCAATGGGACTTGTCCAACCCTGATGTACAATTGTTGTGCAATGGAGGTCCTCAGTATGGCAGCAGAAAGTGTGTTTCTGAATATATGACAATATTCATATTCCTCTGACAGGGTGTTCATCCAAGTATATTTGATAGTATGCATGACTGTAGTGAAGTGAATGTTAACCATGAAATCCACCATCATCACATGTTTAACATCGCCCAGTGAACCAGACTGACTCCTTTGATGAATTTTTTATGAATCATCTACCTTTTCCATGGCAAGACTAGTACTGTTCCTGTAGTAATCCATTAGCGTTATTATCTTTCAAACGTACTTTAGTACTGTCAAATACAATTTGTTTCTCTCATGTTATAACGGAAATTTGAATAATATTTTCCACACTTGCGTGAACTGTACAAAAAAAAATAATGTAGTTAAAAATGAGAATATACATTGTAATATATGAGGGGGGGGCAGGCTTTATTTTTTGCAATGATCTCCTGAGTAATTGTAATATTGGCAACTATAAATTATATGTTTACTGTCATTTATCATGAATATCAACTGCCAAATGTTTATGATATCAACCATAGAGAATATGCCGTAAAAGGTTGACATCATGGAATATTTATTGCAAATATTGCAAAATTGATTAACATACAGGAGTAAAATCATAGAAGGGGACCAATCAATAGTGATCCATCACATTGGTAATATATTTTGCGAACAGGTTGGAAAGTAGCAGTTTCATTGATTCTTCCTGATATGGAGAAGAGTGTAAAGTATTTATGCAAGTGTCAAGCCTAAATGTGGGTTTACAGTGTAAATATCTAGTTGTCAACCATTAAAAAAGTAGGCTAGCCACCCAACATTTATGCCTACAGCTGGTTTCTTTCTCAAATCACAACTCCCCAAATAGAACCCTGTTGAAACACAAGTTGTTTTCCTAACCCCAGGAGTGTGAGCTGTAAGGAGGTTCATATTTGTGTACACATTGCTCTTGACTTTAACAATGTCACTGTGGAATTCTAACGTGATGTTTCTTTTCTAGCATTCAACGTTGGGGAAAGAGCCATTATGTTGGTGGTGTTGTATATTTACAATGAAATTCAATGCGGGTCAAAGTTTGAGGGAAAATTTAGTGTAGCCATGCATACTGCAAATATATACTATTATTAGTATATTTTCCATTCAATACAATTTTAAATTTTTTTACATGATCCCTGTCTTTCTGTGATCAAACCATATTGATTTACAAGTAACAGTTTCCTCAAATACTTTGTATCTGTTTCACTACTGAAGGTACAAAATAAAGTGTCAACTCAGGAAACAATGGATGAAATAAAAGGCAAAGAGAAGTACAAAATGGATTGATTTTATAGATTTTTGTCTGCCTATAAAATGTACGCTATGGCACAATGTGTTTTCATTGCATCATTACTCAACATGTAATATTTAGTGACATAAACAAACCTTATCCAACACTTAAAAGATTCTAGTTTTACTATATCTACTTGATGTCTTTATCATAAAACATGCATCTTTGTTTTAATGTAACAATGTTACAGACTTATACAACTTGTTTTCCTCTGTGAAAATTGTAGAAGACAAAACTGTTGAGACCACTTAGCAGGCTTGAAAATGTGTACAAGAGTGAGAACCCCACTAGGGACAATGTCCAAGGACCAGCAATGTGGCTTGAATTACATGCTCACTTACCAGCTAATAGGGGGCATTACCACCTCCCCAGTAGGCTGATGAGGGGGGAGGGAACTTGTTAGACCTGATATGATGCTTGGATCAATAAAACAGGGCTGGAAATGCCACCTGCATATGCAGGTTAGAGCAGATAGAACTGAGGTCTACCTGCACCTATCTTGCACCCGCATCTATTTTGGCATGGGTTTACAGTATGTGAAGTGTCTGTGGATTTTTATTTGTGTATTGACTGGTAACATTACCACCTACATTTTGAATGTAGACTGTAGAGGAAATAGTGTCAATGGTTTCTGAGTAGTTTTTGTATGATCCATACTTCCAAAGTTCTGAGCAGTGCAGGTTAAAATTTGTCTAGTGCAGGTAATTTTCATTAACCAGTGCAGGTATGCAGAATAAAGCAGTTTGAGCTGTGATAAAGCTTCCTAACAGGGACGTGACTAAAGTCTATTTTTTAATAAAGCTTGCCTTGATCTTTTGTTGTAGTGTACAAGGACAGAAGGGGGAGGGGTCAGAGTCAGTAAACTGTGTGATGTTTCAGCCTGCATGAAACTTTAGAGTTTAACTGAATAATCATGCAGAAAATGTGGCATACTGTATATATTTTGATCAGTAGGTGGTTACACAATGGTAGGAGAATGCTAGTACAGATGTATTAACATTACTGCTGTGTAATGATGATGATGATGTGTAACTTAAGAAACTTGCCAATGGTATTTCAAGTTGCTTTTTCACAGGTTGTTACATGTGTTTCCAGCTAGAAGAAGTGCTAAACACACTGTTATAATAAGAACAAAGATGTTGAACTAAATGTATGTGTATGTGTAGTATAGGCAATTTGTAGTCAAGATTGCTGCAAAGACCTCCATAGGTCATATCCTGTGTTGAGTACCTTGATTGTGGCCAACAAAAACTGTGCAAAGGTTGTTTTAAGATGTTAACCCAGATTACATCCCTGCACTGGGGACACTCTTGCTTTTATCGTGACTAAAACAGTGCAGATGTTTGTCCAGCTTTGCTGCCGTTACCAGGGAGAAAGCAGCAAACCAAACAAAGCTGTGCTCTAAGTGAATTTTCCAGTACAGAAGTTGTGTCACTGGGCCATTTTTCTAGACTGGTAGCAATGTTCCTGCCTGTATGGTTAGCTACTTTGATGTTTGTTGACAAAATGCCAAAGTTATCACAGTTACACTTTAAAAAGGACTATACCTACCTGAAACTCCCTTTGGTACATTGGAATATCACATTCAGCTGTTTTTCAGTTTAGCATATTTGACAGTTTTATCAAAGTTAACAAAATTCTTCATTCTATGAACCCTCATAAGACTTGATTTGGAAAAGGCATTGTACTGTATTAATTTTTATCAATGACTGATTTTGTGTAGTATACATGCTAAATTTCATGCCCCAGTTTGTTAACTTACACTTTTTAGATTGTTCAAAGAGGTTAGTGGGGACTTGGATTGTTGTACTTTTTTGGCTGATCTTATGCTGAATACATGTTGGGTTTGTTTTTGAAACAACCACAAACAAATCAGTCATGCTGACAACACATCCTTGTCTTTACTTCTTCTTCCTGATTTTGTAGCAGGAAAAAATGCCAGAAATGTCTGAGAGAGTTCCCCCTAAACAGACGATTTTTGGCACAGATGCTGTGTCCGACCAATATGCATGCATTCTACATAAATTTACTGTGTATTTGACCCTGACAGTAAACAGGTGTGTCCTGCACACAGTCTGCAAGACAAGCTGAACTGAAGCTCACCTTACCCTTTTTATCAACCTGCTGTCAGGACAAAGACTTTGTCAGGTGATAAGGAATTGCTGGAATGTCTAAGAAGGTTTCCTCTGAAACAGACAGGTGATTGTGATTCATTTCCCCTTTTGGACAAAGCTTGGACAAGACATAGCAGAGGAGAGCTTCTTATACCCAAAGACTTGTCTTCTTTTTTTGGTAGGTGCTTCTCGCATTTCTGAATGCATGTTAATAGTTGCGTAGCTTATGCGACTTATTATCAGGGGAGTCTTGAATAGGTAATATCTACATTTGTACTTGGCTAGAACTCACAAAGTATCAGAACATTTTGAATTTGATACACACTAATAGTTTACATAATGTAATTCCGGTGAGTCCAATTTTTCTTATGTTGTAGAACTGTTTAATTGTTTCACAAAGCTTGCACATTGCTTTATAGCTTTTACATAAGGACTTATTTCTTGCTATCTACACACGGCATACACTTTATGCCGAACTAGTAGATGCAGTTAGCTGAGCTTTAGAAGGTTACTCTCTCTGTGGGGGAGAAGTCAGAGCTTATTCTCAGCGGGAAAATCCTTTTAGAAGGACTTTTCTCCGCCTAGCCTTAAAGGTTAAAGAAAGCTTAAGAGTCACAGTAACACCTGTTCTATTTGAAGGTGATACTCGGGTATTTCTCTTCACCTTAATCATCGTGAGAGCAGCTCAGGAGGTTCTGTTACACTCGGCTCTCTCGTACTCTCACCTTAATTATACCCGACCTGCTACCAAGAGGTGAGCACCCCGGAATGGAATGGTGTTAAGAGTTTCACATCGGGTGGGAGTGGGTGTCCTGTTTCTTTTATGGGTCAGGTCACTCACACTTCGTATGGATTTCTTTTATGTACATGAATAGGGCACATGTTGTAACTGGTTGTTAGAAGAGAATGGAATATAGGTTGGTACAAAAAATGTTGTTTTGATGAAGTTGACTGCCACTTGTAATAGAATGTTGTAAATGATATCTCTTCTTTCATCTGCTTGAGGGAGGGAGTATATCCTATATCTTCCTGGGAGATATTGTATAAGGGGAAATTGCTACATATTTGTATGTGAATATGTACTAGATAATTTGTAGCTTTAACTATGTACAGTTAACTACATGTAGTATGTATTCACGTACAGCATACTATCTTGTGAATAGTAGTAGTTAATATTATTACTCGAGATATACTGAATATTTTTTTCTGAAAACCTACAACAATGTAATCAATTCTTGGTGTACAAACATGATGTAAAAGCAAACAAAATAATCTGCACTTTACTGCCCTATAGATCAATACACTTTGTATTGATAATCCATTTGTATATACAGAAGTAAGCAAGTAAGTAAGCACGCACAGTGCTAAACGTAGACATACAAAGCTGATAGAGGAAATAGCAATATAATATTATCAAGCTTACTTGATATTGAAATCTTATGACACCATATAGCTGGATTGTTTTAAAGATAAGTTTATATGTCCATGTGTAGGTGTTAGCCTGGTACACAGCCATGTCTGCAGAAGGAGCAGTTGAAGCTAAGACAGATGGAGCAGAGGCCGTGACGGAGGCTGGAGCGGAGGCTAAAGCAGAGGCAGAAGCAGAAGTACTGGTAGTAACAGACGGTGTGGTGGACGGCACAGATGCTGGCAACACACATGGTAAGAAATAACACACTAAAACCGGGCTCAAAATACTACATGCATGTATAGGTTGTAATTAGTGTAGGTAATATTGGAGCCGTGAAGGTGTTTCTGATGTCTACCTGGAATTCATATCATCATATGAAAAAACATTGTCATCATAGGACTTAGGTTTCAAGAGTTGTCAACTTTTGTTGCTGACAGAAAAACTTATATTATGCAGACATGTAATCATTGACAGATTCTGTCACTTTGTTGTAGGGTGGAGATCAACCAATGTTAATGAATGCCGACCATTATTGTACACACATATATCTTACCATGCTCTGTGTTAAGTACAGGTCACAGCAAAGGAATAGCTTGTATAGACATGTATACAATTATGTACATACACTGTACATATGACGAAGCTAGCCCTCTGACAATTAATAATCTCAAATATTAACCTGAATTGATTTCAAAGCTAGTAAAGAAAGATAGCAGATGTCCCTGCCTTTTGCCCACAATCTGTGGTAATGTTTATGTTGTGTCAAGGATGATGAACTTTGTTCTACATACACCCATGTCTGAACATGCTCATGTGTAATGGTTAACATGTAAATAATTGTTCTGTGTGGACCTCCTTGGGACAATGTAGGCTGAAACATTAGATCATCATCACAGCATAGTTGTCTACAATGATTGAGAAATTAACCTGCTATCCTGTGTTTTTTTCCTAAAGATTACTTCTTGTTTAGGTATACTAGAATTTTATCCATATATGAAACATTGATAATACTAGCAACACTTTCTGACTATGAGTTGAATTGACCATTAAAGCAATCCTTCCCTCAGGTATATGTTCCCTCCCTCATTTATCTAATCTAGCCAGAATTCCTCTCTTCAGGACCTGTTGCAATGATCACTAGTTCCTCCCTGTTCACTGATAACAAAGGCGTGCCCTTCTATGTGGTGGTCAAATATGATATATATCAGCACCTGTAACACTGTGCAAACAGGGCGGCATACTTCAGGTGTGTTAGGGGAGGTAAGGTCAGGGATCACTGTAACCTTTGGTTTGATTGTTTTGGATTTATTTCCTGTAGTACATGTATTAGTCAAAATGGCTAAAGAGAGGATGTTGGGAGAAAAACAAGGTGTAATGGTCAAGATAGATAAAGTAGATACTAATGAAAAACATTTTCCTTGATTAGGGCATTTTGTATAAAGTAATAATTCCCTTTTGCTCCATGGTCACTATCTATGATATAGCATCTGTACTGTACAAATAAAGCAGGTAAGTATGCTGTAGCAGTGTAGTCATTTAGTACTGAATAAGGTTTTTGTTTCTCTGACTTGTCAGATGTCAAGAGAAAAAAGTTCCGTCCACTGAAGTCTATACGAAAGATCCTGGGGATCAAGAAGGGGAGAAAAAAGTCAGGCGATGACCCCGCCCTGCTGTCAGCCAAACCTGTGTCCAAGTCTACAGGTGCACTGCTACAGGTGGTGGAGACAGACCAGGAGGAAGATGTCAGGTCAGGCTTAGTTGACCTTTGCCGGAGGTTATGTTTTTGGTAGTGTGTGTGTGTTTGCCTGCATGTGTGGTTTAGCATGATAACTCAAGAAGCTATGGATGGGTTGTCATGAATCTTTATAGGTGGGTAGGTGTCAAAATGATTTGATAGAGATCTTGGGCTCCCTAGTGGCTTGTTGTGGTACTGCAGCAGAACTTTCAGATTTGATTTCTGACGTGATTTGGCTATGCTAGTTCAACAATTTCAGTGCCAAGTACGGAAATATTGCTTTGGGTGGCTGAGGTACATGTATGGGCATTTGTCCTAATTGCTTTGGTTGCATGGTGGGTGGGAGGTGATTTTGACAGGATTTTGAAAGGATGATGCATTATCTTAAAGTTCTTTATTCCTATTTCCAGTAACAAGGCGTTGGCCAGCCGCAGCATGTCGGCAGACAGTGTGTTCTCTCCTGGGAACGTACAAGCGAAGCCCCTTGAGAAGGGTGACATGGCCGCTTCGGTCGACCACCTCCCCTCGCAAAACTTCCAGGTACGGAACCAGACTGTGCTGACAGCTTGCAATCACTGATCACAACTTTCAAATCTGCCCATGTATGATATAGCAGGGTACAAAGGTGCATATGCACTCTTGTGCACCAAAAATTAGAGCTGTTCACATGATAACAGTAAAAACTAGCTGAAATGCACTGTGAACCAAGTAACAGTGCACTGTGAACCATGTAACACCTTTAGTGCACTATGCATCAAGTAACATCTAGCGTCAGTGCACAGCAAACAAGTCACAATTGCCCTGATGAAGATGTCATTGAAATGTCGGCTCGTAAAAAATAAATGGTTGTGATCAAAGAACTTTGCTATTCAGTAGGGGATTTTCTTATGAGACATGTAGTTTAATTTGCTACTTACAATTGTCATTGCCATTGAAGTTGAGTGAAGTTTGCTGAACGTTGGTTTGTTCCAGAGTGAATTATCAGCCAAGCTTAAGTCCCGTCGAAGTGAGGACGGGGCCAGCTCAGACGAGTGCCTTCCCCGCAGTCCTGACACGATAGTTACCATGGCAGACGTCATCAATGAACACAGTACACAGGTGTGCTAAACTTACAATGAAAGTTCATGTGTCAACTTGGTAAAGTACATCATGTACATTTATTTTAAAAATTTTGTCCAAGATAAAAAAATACACGTCTTCTTCCAGTATAACAGCCTTGATACCTCACAGAGGCCAAAAACTTATTATTGATTATGGTAAATACATTTTCCATATATGTTTGACCTAAGGTTTGAAAAACTTTGCACTAGACTAGATATGGCTCTCGTTCTCCCTTCATTTTTGGATTAGATCTTGTATCATTGATATTAGTTAACAAATATGCCAATTTCTTGGTTTCATTGGAGTGAATACAGTTTTAATCCTTCTTTTTAACAGAATGGAATGAAAAGACACAGTGAAGAAAGTTTAGAAAGTGTAGGAGATGAGGTAAGTATTATACAATGTATCATTGTCACACAGTAATAGTTTTCACCAGCTTCCTTCGTGGTTCTACAAGATTCTAAATATGTGATTCTATAGTCTATAGACCTCTGTAGGACATTGTGTCATAGGCTAATTGTGCAGTAAAGAAAAAGTGAACATCATCCCATTCCTGTTGTTTTTCTGTTAAAACATATTAACTGTTAGTTTCATGTGACAAATCAAAGTGCTATTAACAGGTACAGATTCATAATTGCAGGTTTCTGTATAGAACAACAAACAGTACTTACCACTTATTTATCAATGCCAAAAAAGTTTTTGTGATATGTATTGATTCAGTCACATTTTATTGAATCTACTTTGAGTATATACAGTCGCAAATGTTGAAAGTAAGGTTTACCTGTACGTTAGGTTGGATAATTCAACACACTCTGCCTTCCAACGATGCCCGTTTTTGGTATTTTTGTGTTTTCCCCAGCCCGGCATTGCCATGGCACCAGACCAATTAGGGCAGAGAGAAAAACATCAAGCCAGACAAGGCACCAGTGTATCGGCAGATCTGGGCAGCACAGGAGGTAGGTGCAAGGCTCTCGTTATTTTACTGTTTTCTGGTTTCTTACCGGTATAAAACAGAACTAACATCAGTATTTGTGATGTACAAAATTTAAGTGCTGTTCTTTTGCTGTTAGGTCGGTGATTAAATATTTTAACACAAAGGTCAACTCTAGAAAAGGTTTGAACGTATTCTTATGAAAATTATCACCTACTGTTGCATCAAAAGATGTGCTTATTCAAGATGAAAAATTATAGTATCTTGCTCATCTAGCTGTAAATTTCTACCCCATTAAGCAGCAAATGTATTATTCAATATTAAAATTCTAAAATGCCTTTAAGTTAGATGATAATCTTCTTTGACTGCTTATGATGACCACCCAATTTTTGGCCCTGGATTGACAAAAAACTCTTTAAAAAAAGTTAATTCTAAGGACTCAATGCCAGTTAAGCATAGCTTCTAGTAATATACTCAACAGTAATCAGGAATAAAGTAGATTGACTTCTGATGTGTTGGTTCCCTCCCAGACGTTGACCTTGATGCGATTCCGGCCTCGCCGACACACCTCAGTAACCAGGCTGCTAAACACAAACTGTCCGTCGCTCCCAAGCTCAGAAAAGCCTCCAGCAGGACCAGAGGAGTCGGAAAGGTGGGTCATGTAGTATGCAATGTGATGTGACACCAGATATAGAAACATGACTATTGGTCATTTTGGTGTAGCCTGTATGGCATCTAATAAACCTTCGCAGGGCTCAAAATACCACCTGCATATACAGGTTGGTGCAGGTAAAACCTGTCTGGTGCAGGTAATTTTCAATGTTAGCTGCAGGTATGCAGAAAAAAGGATTTCAAGCCCTGCTTCAGCTACAAAAATCCAGCTGTAACAGTTGCTGTTCACACAGCTTCATGCAGGCTATTGGACGGAGTAGCACCTGTTGGAATGGTAGTATTTAGATTAAGCTGTGGTGCTTTTTTCATTTAATTGCTTTTTTTCATATTTCACAAACATAGGCAAATTTGCTGGTGCCTGTACAGAGAACCTGCATGCATGTATTCACTTGTTATAAAGACTGGAAAGTAAATTGTGTCAAAACACTTTGATTTTCGAATGCTACATATTTGTGCAATATTGTGCAATGATTATTGTGTATTGGATTGTCATCCACTGTCCTTGCAAACAAGGCACGCGCACAAGGGACTCTGGATGACATTTCACATGACCTCAGCTGACCCCAGATTAGCAGCAATGGCCCCAGGTGCAGCTTTGAGAATATGGAATACTGCAGATTTTGTATCCATCCTTACTGAGTTTATACATTCAAGTGTATCTAGAAGTTTGGGGTTTTTCCAGCTTTTTTTTACAGAAATGTACTCTCTGAAGGTTTGTAACCCATACCCATAGCATACCCATTTCTGTGACTTTTAGTAACATGTTTTTGCCAATTTTGCCACGTCTTGAAATATTTTCCATACTTGACATTCTTGAAGCTAAGAATTTTTTGCAGGAGATTAAAGCTTTATGATACGCGTTTCTAGTTAAATTACCTTTGTTCAAATGTGCCTTAGTTTATTATCTTCATCCATATTATTACACACATTTAATAATTAAGACATCGGTGACAGACAAGTATGACGGATCACCAAAGGAAGGCTGTGTGGCATCTTATCTCCCATGGGGAGTTACATGTATCATCTGTATACTTATAATGCCCTGTAGGCAAATTGTCCCACCAAGCATTTGATTCATGATATCTATGTGTACATCACACAGCTGCCATGCCGGTCATGTGTGGTTGAACCTAGAATTAAGAGTCAACCCGACAAATTTCAGTTATGTCATAATCACATGACTGTAAAACTGTAAATCTTGAAACATTTGTGGCGGTTTTATTTTTGCAGAGCTTTCATGGTGACAGTAAGATCATGTTGAATGACTATTGTACCAAAAGTTTCAATAGTTTATTCAAAACGCAGTAGAAACAACGACAAAAGTAAATGAATTTACAGCAAAAATCTGTTGTCTGTATACTGCCCCAAAGTGTAGATGTGGCACAGACGATGATGACATTGCATCTTACCAACTGCATTGACGTCACTCCAGTAAAATTCATGAATTTTACAATCTACATGAATGTTGCATGTCTGTACTCGTGTCTTGCACTTTGATCTGAAGAGCCAATCAAGTCCCGGCGTTTGGTGGCTAATCAGACATGCATGAAACTGAATTTCGTGGAACGTCACAGTGCAAGAAGTGAAACCTGAGTCTGTGTTCTTTTTTTTTTCTAGAGTCCCAGCACAACACCAGACCTTCCCAAGATGTCAGAGAATCACAGGACAGGTAATGTTAGCACTCTGTTATTTTGGTTCAGCAGACATTAATACAACCTACAGATTTACCTTCAATATGACATTGTCACTAAGTATTCCACATACATGTATCAAGTACTTAGTAATACTTAGTCTGGTTATTATCAAGAAATAATATTTTTCTATAGTTGCTCAGTCTTTGAACATTCATGTGTGTTACTTAAAGAAAAATTCAGAGTTCCAGTGTTATTTAATTAAAACAGTATGTCACAATTTAGAAAGATCTTACCTTTTACGGTAGAGATCCAGAAGTATGTTTACCAAATGCAGACTTAACTCAATCTGTTGTTCCTGTCCAAAAGACTTGTGGAGGTGTAATAGGGCGGTTAGAATCATGTTGAAGGAGTGTTTCCCTGTTTGGCTTTGTGGATGACTTAGAAGTAGATAGGTTGACTTTTGTTTTAGATCTATATCATAGTCTCTCAATGTAGTTTGTAGCAGTATGTAATGAGTAAGATGCATTCAATCTATTTATTATTGTTTAAGCCCTGTCCAAGCTCTTCAGTTGGAGTATTTGTTTGTTTGTTTGTTTCTCTTGTTGATTGCATGCGTCGGGCTGTCTGTTTTGTACAGCTGACTCACCTGAACCTCCGGTGACACCTGCTGACACAGAACCACCCCCTAAACCTCCCCGTACAGGTGCTCCATCTTTTCCTCTTCCTCTTCATTCCTGCACAAGCACAGGCTCTTCAAGCACCTTGAGAAACATAGGATACATAATGTTATCATGATAAATTTACCAGATTTATGCACTGTAAACAGCACGTTATTGTATAGTCATGTAAGTCAGCTTTGCTCTCGTAGGTTATGATAGAGTGAGAGATTTCTCTAGACTAGACTTTTCCCCATTGCGGGTACTAGAGTTGCTGTATTGGCTTGAATCTCCTGAAATTACATTGTAAATGCATTAATCTTTCTAATCAAAACAAAACATCTGAGCAATACTCCCAGTCAATCAATCGCTCACTGAAGTGAAAACAAGATAATGCCAAGGATCAACAGACATTAGTGATTGGGCAATTTTTTTTGCAAACAATGTTTGTCAGATGAATGGATTGAAAAGACTGAAAACTGCTTTGATAATTCAGTGTTTATTAACTGTTTTGGCTGTTCAGCACGCACGTCAGGGCTGCCCAACTAGCCTGTGGCTATTGCAAAGGGCTAGCCCTGCTGACAAGACATGACATTACAATGGAGTTTGACATGGACGTGTAGCATAACAGTGTTTGGCAACATGTTGGTCTTTCAGGGAATTATAACTCTCCAAGAACCTCAGTGTCTCAGGATGAGACAGAAAATGGTGGCCCTCCCGCAGTTGTTTCT